GAAAATCTGGTAAAGGTTTCTTTTTTATTTGCAAAATTTTATTTCTATATTTTAGAGCAAATTCTTGACATTCTTGTTCGAAAATTATGTCAAGCATTTCTTCATCCTTTATACAATTTATATCAGTATCTGCTGGAAGAACGTAACATTTATTGGAGAAATATTCGAACTTAATTTTGTTTTGCAGTTCTTTTTCTATACATTGTTTAAGGGTATTTGTCGAAAATAAATTGTCAGACACATCTTTTTTATCAAGATCATAAAGTTTCATTAAAAACAAAACGTAGCAATCCCTTAAATAAGAAAACGATAAAATTCGTGCTTTATTTACAACCTCCTTTTCAATCTTTTGGATTAACTGTTGACGAGCAATCTCATTATAGTCACGTGTATCTTGCCAAATAGTCGTTGCTGGCTTGCTTATATGAGCTTTGTATTTTGAACGATATTTCAAATCGCATCTTCGGTGATAAAATAATGTAATACTGTTGGCATTATTTACTTCTTCTGCAATTTTCTCCAGCATTTTCAAATCACTTAATTCAGTTGCTTCACTTTTAACATTTTCCAGAAATCTTATTTTATCTTTAATTCGACTACAATATAGTCTTTTCCCTTTCCATTTCATTGATATTTTTTAACAATAAAAGCATTTTTCTCCAAATTTTTCATAATTTTGATCGTTATTTAAACTCGGATCATCACAAGTATTATCATAACAGTCACTAGTCACCATGTCATCTAAATCTTGAATATTGCCTGCATCTTGCGTTACTGTGTCTGAAGTGTTTCTACAAATAAAATTTAAAATGTAAAAGAAGATAAGTTGTTTAGAATTATAATATAATATGTAAATAGTAATAAATAAAAGTAAACTCACTTATTATCAACTTTTTGTAGTTCCAAAGTAATTGCAGCCGATGAAATAGACGAGTGAATCGAGCCATCCGTCGACTTACATGACATCGTTGCACAACTAAAATTTAATTATATTTCATTAGAATAATATTATTGATAAAATAATTGTCATCATAATGACCAATTATTAAGGCCAAACACAAAGTGAATTATATATATATAAAATTTTTTGTCCAAGTAGTTGTTTGTTTAACAAAAGAATTTATATACATTTATATACTCCAATAGTTCTTAAATAAATTATGTTATAAATTGCTTATCTTTTATTGAATATTTGTATATTGTTATAATTTAAAACCCCTTAATTTTATTCTTGTAATATAATTTTTAATATATATATAATACAATAATTAAATCATTTTTAATCCGATGGTCATTATACAAGATTCATCACTTTAGATTTTATAATTTTGAATTTATAATTTGTACATAGTGACGTGAAACAATAATCGTTTTAAGAAGTCAAACTGTGGTTATGAATGTAAATAATTTATAATAAATATTAACATACCTATCAGGCACAAGAAATTCTTTTTTCACAATAAATGATTTGTAGCAGGTAGAGTGATATCCAATCTCATCGTTATCATTATTTTGTGGCAATATGACATCATTCCATTGATGTTTATGGTGATGACGTGCTTTTAAAGAATTGGTGCATGAAAATCACGTTTTAGGAGTAAATTTTTTAACTTTTTCCTGCTTTTCCTTAAATTTCGAATTTTTTCCACTCAAATAATTACACAAAAAACAGAACATATTTATAAATTATGAGGGTACAATCATGATACTTTAAAAATCAATTTTTTTAAGTACAATATAATTTTCGCAACTTAAACTAACAACCTGTATTCGTGTCAAATTTAGAAGAGAAACTAATATAATAATACAAACTTTTCTTTCGTCACATTTGACACCAATATACACAGAAAACTTAAGCTTATATAGAGAGGGAATTTATTTTGAAGCAAAATATTTTGGTCTCTTAATACAATAGATATATATATGTCTCTAAAAGTCCTGAGTTATCATACAGGTCGATTTATATATAGTATAAATCAGATACTTATTTACTTAATTATTTCCTTTCAGATGAAAGGAAAATTCGAAACCATTTTTATAATTTTATATCTATATGAATCAGTATTCTAATGGAAAGAAAATAACTTTTGGTTAAAAAAAGTGAAATAGCATTAAAATTTTCACCCGAAACACCTAGTCGCATTCATTTTTCCGAATTCATACAGGCTAGTGTAATTAATAGGTAGAAATTTTAAAAAGTTATTTTTTTGTGCTTGTTACCCTTGTTCTTCATGAAAGTCCCAACATTATTGTCCGACAAATGCTTGAATACGTTATTAAGATGCACATAAACAATAAATCTTTAAAGAGGTAGTGCGGGTAATAAATATAAGGGCTACACGAAACCTTCGACTTTAAAGTGTCCGAAAACAAATCTTCCCCCCTTAAATTGTCCGACAAGGTTACTCCTTTATTTGAAATAATATTATTAAACGATTCTGTAAAAATCAACTTGTAGGTTGTAAATAAAATATTTTTATAAATTAGACATGTTTGGCGTGTTCGAGGTGCCAAAAAACCGAAAATTTTTGTCCGACAGAATATTTTTCTTTTTATATATGAAAATAACTCTCTATTAAAATAAAAATTAAACTGTAGGTCATAAATTTTTTTATTGCGTGAAATTTATATGTTTGTCATAGTATAAAACAAAGAAGCCCCACTACCAAAATTAGCTGCAATGCAATTTTGTCCGACTCTATCTGAATAACAGATACACAAAGTTTCGACGTGCGGGTAATAAATAATATTTTTAGGCGTGGGCCCATGGACTATTATAATGCCTCTAAGTCATTCAATTTTGAAATATTTAAAAATTTAATTATTTGACATGTTTTTCGTCCAACGAAAAAAAACGTTGCTCATCACCCTACATCACCCTACATATTTGAAATATTCAAGAAAAAACAAGTCATTTTCATGTATTACATTATTTTTTGGTATAACGGAGTTAAAAGTGTTTCAAAAATCCTTTGCTTTCGAAGATGTTAAATTTAAAAAAATCATAACTTTTATTATTTTGATCAAATAAAAAAATAAAAAAAACACGTATTTACTTATTTTTCATATCGAATTCGAAAAAAATTGTTTTAACCAAAAAAAAATTTTGAGTGAAAGTCTGACGAAAAATGCCTCATATATTTGACGGGTTCCATGTCAAGTGACCCAGGTCAAAAATTTACATGGAATATTTGAAAAATTTGTAGTTTCTTTAAAACAAAACGAAAATACGTTTTCTATTTTGGGTTTTGCTGCTGTTTTTCAACACTTTCTAATAGTGTGAACAAATGTAGAGAAAAAAAATTGTTTGACCTTGAAAAATTAAATTAAAAAATAAAATTTAATTTTTTTATCAAATGGGCAGTTTTTATTTTTTTAAAAAAAATTTTATCATAAAGGTGAGGTTTTTTCCTAAAAAAAATGTATAGGTCAAAACGTGGGACAAGAACTTTTAACTGGTCAAATTAAGCATTTACTTCTGCCGTGCACCGTCCCACAGTGGAATTTTTTTTACAATTTACTATTAAAAAATGTCTATAGCTTACAATTTTTAACCGATTTGAGTGTTCTTTGTCTTAAATTAAAGGGGAATAAATTCTTAAGACATTCTTCGAGGCCGATTTTGGAGATTTTAATTATTTATAATTTTTTTTAAATCAAAGTTAACAAATTAATACACTTTTTTAAAAAAAGAGGTTTATTTTCTTATTCCGTTGATGCACATGATCTAAATAAATTTAAATTCATCCAATATGACCACCAGATAATTAATAAAGCATAAAATAATTTATTTCAATTGTTATAAACAATATATAGCCCAACAACGAGCAGGGGCGGTGGATTGCAGAAGTAAATGTTTATTTTGACCAGTTAAAAGTTCTTGTCCCACGTTTTGACCTATACATTTTTTTAGGAAAAAACCTCACCTTTATGATAAAAATTTTTTTTAAAAAATAAAAACTGTCTATTTGATGAAAAAATGAAATTTTATTTTTTAATTTAATTTTTCATGGTCAAACATTTTTTTTCTCTACATTTGTTTACACCATTAGAAAGTGTTGAAAAAAAGCAGAAAAACCCAAAATAGAAAACGTATTTTCGTTTTGTTTTAAAGAAACTACAAATTTTTTAAATATTCCATGTTAGACCAAAAATTTAAACTTTGACCCCCTCCAGTTTTTATATTTGTTTAAATAAATTAATAATATTTTGTATTTTTAATTGTATCTAATAGGCTACTGTTTCTGCAAAATTTTAACCCGATCCCAAATATTTAAAATTTTGACCTGGGTCACTTAACGTGGAACCCGTCATTTATGTAACAGTTCCCACTACTAATTTTCTCAAGGGAGGAAAAGTTATAGAAAGGGAAAAAGAGGTTGGCAATTTTTGGATTGGTTTAACCCTTTCAGTCCCATAATTAGGACAATTAAAAAATGTCTACAATAGGTATAATACTCATGGTTTTCGGGGTCGCTAATTACGAATCTGGAATCAGATTTTCAAAATTTTGAAAATTCAAAATGTCGGAGTCAATATGGCGGACTATAAAATTAAAAATTATTTAATTTTACTTGAAAGTTGTCACTCAGGGGTTTTTAAGGTCACTGATTACGAATCTGGAGTCAGCTTTTCAAAATTCAAAATGGCGGGTCCAATGTTGAGTAGGACGAAAGACATGAACGAATAAAGGTTCTAGAGAAGGGATAGACCGTAAATTGCGTTTGCGCAATTTACTGAGATTTTCATGACGAATTGGCCTTTGGGACCACGTTTTCAGTTGTACCCGGGACTTGGCGATATGTATATATTTGTATAATTTTATTAAGTGAAGATAGTTTATTTTAAATAAATCCAAGTTTTCTGTTGTTAATTTTACTATGTTATGACTTTATTTTACCTTTGTCCTATAATTGACAAGTGGCGACCGTGACAGGACACTGAAATTGGTGCAGTTAAGTGTAATATAAAACGGGAAGTGTGGTTTGTGAGACGCCAAGATGGATGCTATTAAAAGGGAGAGAACAGCGTTACGTTCGGCATTTACGAAGGCCCATAATGGATTCCAAAGCAAGATAGCTGGTAACTATAATAAAGAAGAAAAAATAGTTGCCTTTCAATTTTTGGAGTTAAAGATGACGGAATTGGACGTGGTTCAAGCAAGATATAACTAATCCCTTTTCGAATCGGATTTGCCAGATGAAGCCATCACCAAGGAGTTAGAGTCCGACGATACGTACAAGACGCTTTTCCTTACGGCGAAACTCAGAGTAACCAGTTTGAATTCTCCAAATGTATCAGTGCATCCAGTACCTAATGTGGTTGTGGATAGGAAAACCATGAAGCTTCCCAGTATAGAACTGCCCAAATTTAGTGGAAACATCAAAGAATGGCTGCCTTTTTGGAGCCAATTTAAGAAAATAAATGACGATAACACTATCAGTGGAGAAGACAAATATCAATATTTAATACAGGCCACAGTCCCTGGGTCAAGAGCAAACGAGATAGTAAATAGTTTCCCGCCAACAGGAGAGAACTTCGAGAAGGCTGTTGCTACTTTGAAGAGTCGTTTTGGTCGGGATGATCTTTTGGTGGAGTTCTACGTCAGAGAACTTTTGGGTTTAGTTCTCCAAAATGCCTTAAAAGGAAATAAGAGGCCAGCATCGCTTGCAAGTCTTTACGATAGGCTGGAATCTTACATAAGGTCGTTGGATACTTTGGGTGTCACCAAAGATAAGTGTACAGCCATGTTGTTCCCGTTAGTCGAGTCATCCCTTCCAGAAGAAATTCTCAGAGCCTGGCAGAGAAGTGGGCAGAGGGGATTTACGGAAACAGACGGACAAAGTGAAACAAATGATCGTTTGACGAAGCTGCTCGAATTTCTCCGTTTGGAAGTCGAAAGTGAGGAGCGGATCGATCTAGCATTGACAGGTTTTGGATTATCAGAGCCGGAAGTGGAGAAGAAGCCTAAAGGTAAAGTAGAACTAGTTAAAGATGTACCAAGTGCAAATGTCCTTCTTGTAGCTAAATCAGAAAGAAAATTTATATGTATTTTTTGCAAAGCTGAACACGAGAGTAAGAATTGTGAAATGGCGCGAAAATTAAAATTAAATGAAAGAAAAGATATTATTAAAAAACAAAACGCATGTTTTATTTGTTTGTTGCGCGGGCACCCTGCTAAAAAATGTAGATGTCAAATTAAATGTGATTGGTGTACTAGACGTCACGTCTTACTCATGTGTCCAGAATTGTGCCGCGATGATATTGTGAGTGAAAGAGAGCGAGAATATAATTCGAATTCGAGAGATAAATTAGAAAATGAGAAGGCTTTAGCAACCTTGTCAGATTTTCCGATGGTCTGTTTACAGACATTACGAATCGAATTGTATTCGCATTCTAGAAAGAGAGTTGTGAGAGCAGTAATAGACACAGCATCACAACGCTCTTATGTCCGCACTGATGTTGCAAAGGATCTACAATATATTCCGATTAATAAAGTAGATGTAACACATTCATTGTTCGGTGGAGCAAAATCAGAAACTAAAGAATTAGATGTATTTTTGATCCGGATGCGAAATTTAGAGAATTCATTTTCGTGTAATTTTTCAGTGTTAGAACAGAATATCATTTGTGACACAATTATGAGTGTAAAAAACGACGATTGAGTTAAAGAACTGCGTGATAATAATATTGTTCTCTCAGATATAGATAGTGATAGCCAAAGAATAGATGTTTTGATCGGCGCGGATATAGCTGGAAAATTATTGACCGGTAAAAAATTTGTATTAAAGAATGGTCTAACAGCATTTGAAACCTTACTTGGGTGGACGATAATAAGAAGATTACCGGAAAAATCTAAAAGTGTAGATTCGGCTATTATGATCACTACGATGCTCGTGCGCGAGGCCAGGGTGACCGATCTGTGGAATTTAGACGTTATCGGAATTACAGACCCGATAGAGAAATTAGAAAAAGCGAAACGTGACGATAAAGTTTGGAAATTTTTTATAAATACTGCCAAATTGAACCAAGAAGCTCGGTACGAGGTCAGATTGCCTTGGGTCGAAAATCATATTCCTGTTTCAGATAATTATGATGTAGCATGTTGCAGGCTAAAAAATAGTATCTCAAAGCTCAAAAAACAGAATCTTTACGATGCTTATAGTGAGGTTTTCAAGGAATGGCTCGCGGAAAATATAATTGAAATAGTGCCAGAACACGAAATTGAAAATATTAGTCATTATCTCCCCCACCGCCCAGTAATAAAGGAAGAGGGAACGACAGCGATAAGACCGGTCTTCGACGCAATGTCTTGCGCAAAGGGGTTCCCCTCCTTAAACAACTGTTTAGAGCAGGGACCTAATCTGATAGAACGAGTGACGTCAAATTTGAATAGATTTAGAGAAGGGGAAATTGGTGTGGTCGCAGATATACGCAAGGCTTTCTTACAGATCGTGATTCATAAGAGTGATAGAGACTTTCTTCGTTTCCTTTGGATGGAAGGGGATAAGATAATAACGTTTAGACATTGTCGCGTGGTGTTTGGTCTTGTGTGTAGTCCATTTCTTTTGTCAGCTATTCTCACTTTAGTTTTGGAATCGGCCATAAAAAAGACTGAAGAAGATGTAAATTGCAAATGGTCTAAAGAAACTATAGAAAAATTAAAAAATGGATTTTATGTGGATAATTGCGTAGTAAGTGTAGATTCAGATTGCGAACGAGACAAATTTATTAGGGAGGCCACAACAGTTTTAGCATCCGGTGCTTTTGATCTTAGAGGCTGGGAAAGTTCTGGCGATTGTCAGGAAAGGGAAACGACATTAGTTCTCGGTATTCTGTGGAATAAAAAACGCGACACATTATCAATAAACCCGAACATCATGAACGTCGAAAATACAAACATCGTAACGAAAAGAAGTATTTTAGCCGCGACTCATAAAATTTATGATCCTCTTGGAATAAAATGTCCCGTGTCTCTTTTGCCTAAATTATTAATTCGAAAATTATGGGATGATAAGGTCGATTGGGATAGGGAACTGGAAAACGGTAAGGACGATTTTTTACGATGGTTAAAAGATTTACCAATTTTAAAAACTATAGAAATTCCTCGAAAGTTGGGTCGCGGTGATTTATCTTTGCATGTCTTTGGTGATGCAAGTCGTTTTGCTTACGCTAGCGTAGTTTTTGCACGAATCGAAGACGAAGGAATTGTAAGCGTACGATTATTAAATGCGAAATCGCGAATGGCACCAAAAAATGCGACGATACCGCGTCTCGAATTAATGGCAGCAACGATTTCTGTTAGGCTCGCGATTAGTGTCTCACAAGCATTGACCAGACCTATTTCAAAAATCACATATTGGACAGATTCCACCACAGTGTTAGCATGGATAAAGCGCGATTCGCAATGGAACACTTTCGTGTGGAATAGGGTTAATGAAATACGCACTTATAGTAAACCAGAAAATTGGAGATTTATATGCGGAGAATTAAATCCTGCTGACTTACCGTCGCGAGGTTGTAGTCCCTCTAAATTGGTGGAATCTGAATGGTGGTTGGGACCAAAATGGCTTTACAATATCGAATCAAAGTGCCCTATACAGATTGAAGGGGTCAGAGAGGAGGAGATAAGGAGCGAAATGAAAAAAGGTCCATTAGTGCAGATGGTCAATGTAGACAAAACAGAATTTAAAGTAGAAAAATATTTCGCATCTTATTCTCGTCTTTGTCTTTTTTTAGCCTGGATGAGTAGATTTTTTGAAAGTCGTCGAGCAATATTAGAAAAAATGAAAAAGGAAAAAGATGTCGTTCGAATGTCATATCTAAATGAAGACGAAAAGAAAAAATTAAGAATAACGCCGGAAGAAATAAAAATCGCGGAAAGAAAATTATTAAAATTTTTACAAGATCGTATGATTTCGGGCGAGAATGGCGATCAATTATCTTCATTTAAGACATTAATAAATGAACACGGCATTCGAGTTGTTAAGACGAAAATTATAAATCGGGTTGATAGCTATCAATTTCGATGCCCTATTTTACTAGACGGAAAAAATGATATTGTTCGGTTGCTTGTTCGAGAAACACATGAAAATTCAGGACATGCAGGAGTTTTAACAATTATGAATATTTTACGAGAACGATTTTGGGTGACATCGTTAAGAAAAATAATAAGGTCAATAATATCAAAATGCGTGGTTTGCAAAAAACAACATGCAAAGCACTTAGAATGTGAACCGGCACCGTTACCTCTTAATAGGGTTAGAGATGCTGCGGTTTTTGAGGTCGTAGGTTTGGATTTCGCGGGACCCTTATTTACAAAAGGCGGAGGAAAAACGTGGATTTGTATATTCAGGTGTGCGGTATATAGGGCAGTTCACTTTGAGTTGGCATCGTCACTCTCAGTGGAAGGTTTTCTCGAATGCTTTCGCAGATTCGTGGCGAGACGCGGGCGTCCGCGAGATGTTTACAGCGATAACGGTACGAATTTTGTTGGTAGTAATAATGCATTTGGGAAATTAGAATGGCAAAAAATTGCTAATCAGAGCGCCTTGTCCAGGATAGAATGGCACTTCAGCCCACCTTCAGCCCCGTGGTGGGGAGGATGGTGGAAGAGATTAATAGGCGTCATGAAAAGAATTTTACGAAAAACACTCGGCAAAGCAAGTTTGTCATACGAAGGACTGTACACGGCGCTCTGTGATGCAGAAGCAATAATCAATGCTCGACCATTGACGTACATTTCCGAGAATCCCGAAGAGCTTGTCCCTTTGTCGCCGTCCTTCTTTCTACAAGAAGTTAGAGAAGTGGGGATTGTAGACTGTGACATGCTGTATCATTCAAAATTAAACAAGAAAGCAAAATACAGACTTAAAATTTTGAAAGACTTGCGAGTTAGATTTCGTGCCGAGTACTTGGGACAATTAACGATTAAAAAAGGAAAGGGAGAAACACGGAAAATAAAACCGGGTGATATTGTTTTGATTGGTGATGATTTGCATAAACGGTTGGATTGGCCTCTCGCTAGAGTTGTCGAAATATATCCGGGATGTGACGGTAATACTAGAGTAGCATTATTAAAAACGAAAGAAGGTTTAAAAAAGAGAGCTTTCCAACGAATCTTCCCATTAGAAATCCCACAGGATGATGCTAAAGGCATAGAGGAATTATGTAAAAAGGCGAATTATACGTCTGAACAGAGTATGAACGAAAAAGATGATAAATGTATTTCAAAAAATTTGAATGAGGGAGAAAATGACAAAAACGAAAATTGTATTTCGAGAAATATAAATGAAGAAGAGAATAATAGAGAGAGTGAGTTGTGTGAGAGAGATTCCGCGGTAATTGTAACGAAGAGTGGTAGACGTGTCCGTAAGCCTGATTATTTCAAGTATTAGAGACTTTCTTATCGAAAGGGGGGAGGATGTTGAGTAGGACGAAAGACATGAACGAATAAAGGTTCTAGAGAAGGGATAGACCGTAAATTGCGTTTGCGCAATTTACTGAGATTTTCATGACGAATTGGCCTTTGGGACCACGTTTTCAGTTGTACCCGGGACTTGGCGATATGTATATATTTGTATAATTTTATTAAGTGAAGATGGTTTATTTTAAATAAATCCAAGTTTTCTGTTGTTAATTTTACTATGTTATGACTTTATTTTACCTTTGTCCTATAATTGACATCCAATATGTCGGACAAAAAAAATAAAAAATTGGACAAGTGCGAGTTGAACTCGCACTGCAATGGCGGGTTCCGTAAACAAATATTAAAACAATACTTGCAACATTTATCGGTAATTGGTAGAATTAAAATAAACAATTAAAAAAATATATTAAAATCATTTGATAAAAAAAATAACTAAAAGAAATTAAAGTATTGTATAACTAATATTGTAAACAATAATAAGTAGAGAAACTAATTTTGAAAATTTTGGTCCTCTGCTTATTATCGTATACAATATTAGATATACAATACTTTAATTTCTTTTAGTTATTTTTTTTATCAAATAATTTTAATATATTTTTTTAATTGTCTATTTTAATTCTACCAATTACCGATAAATGTTGCAAGTATTGTTTTAATATTTGTTTACGGAACCCGCCATTGCAGTGCGAGTTCAACTCGCACTTGTCCAATTTTTTTTTAATTTTATTTTTAAATTTTTGCAAAAAAATTTTAAAAAATCTAAAAAAAAAATTTAATTTTTTAAAAATATTTTTTAATATATTTTTTGTGATCAGACTGTAAAAATATACTAATAAACCCATTTTTAGTTAATTAGATCAAATAATGTGGAAATTAGAAAAAAAAATTTTTTCAAAAATTTTTTTAGTTTTTCCTTGACAACGCTATGGCCATTATTATATACCAAGTTCTCTATATTTTTTCTGTAATATTAGCGTTAAAATACACCAGTATGCCTAATTTTAGCCCTCCATGTTGAATATTTTAGAAGTTAAGGCGGGATGGTCACTTTTTATGCATTTTTGGTCAAAAATCTTGTTATTTCCTTGACAACGCTATGGTCATCACCTCCAATCACATTCTCTATATTTTTCCTGTAATCTACGTGTGAAAATACGTATCTGTACCAAATTTGAGCTTTCTAGGTCAAATAGATTAGCCGCTAGGGGGGGGGCATGATTTGGCTACGGACACAAGAGTCTCACCAATAGGGTTCCGCCGATACACCGTAGGTGTACGGAACCCTAAAAATTAAACAAATTTGCTTAAAAGTTGGCATTTGGAGGTTTTTGAAGTCGCTGATTCTGAATCGAAAGTCAGTTTATTAAAATTAAAAATGGAGGATTCAATATATTGGACGAAGAATCTGAAGTTAGTTTTTCTATCTTTAAAATAATGGATACAATATGATTGTCAAAAATAAAAAATGGACAATATAGGACTGAATGCTGCTTCTTGGAAGTTTGCGGGGTGTGAAAATACAATTATCCGAAATCATTCTTACAAAATTTTTAAATGGCGAATGTAATGTTACGACCATAATAACAATAATATTAAAAATAGGAGAGAAGTACTGTTTTTTTGTCGTTTGTCATTTTCCCTTTGTTTTCTTTTGATTGTCTTTTGTTTTTTTGTCGTTCGTCTTTTATGTTTTGTCACTTGTCTTTTGTCGTTTGTTACGACAAATATAAAAATATTCAAAAAATAAAAAAAATTAATAAAAGTGTTAAAAATTTTTAAAAAAACATTTAAAAAAATTTTAAAGAAAGACAATTTTCAAGCAAATTTGGTTAATCTTTAAATTTTGTTCGCCATATTGGATCCGACATTTTGAATTTTTAAAAATTGACTTTAGATTTGTAACCAGCGACCCTAAAAACCCCCGAGAGACCATTTTCAAGCAAATTTTTTTAATTTTTGTCCGCCATATTGGATCTGTCATTTTAAATTTTAAAAAACTGACTTTAGATTTGTAATCAGAGACCCCAAAAACTCTCAAGAGACCATTTTTAAGCAAATTTGTTTAATTTTTAATTTTTGTCCGCCATATTGGATCCACCATTTTGAATTTGCATATCTGATTTTAGATTAATATTCAGCAAACCCCAAAAATTTAGAAAATAACCACAATTTAAAGTATATGTTACTGATTTAATTTTATTACAGTCAAGTTTAACCTGATATAATGCGTTGCCGTGTATAAGTTTGTTAATAACAAAAAATATAAATAATAGAGATTAATTTGTTAAAAAACTACTAAACCCTATTTGTAGAAACATAAAAATAAGAAATATGCAATTATTTAAAGTTTTCCTTTAAGTTATATATGTTAAAAAAATCGGTGGCTTCAAAGGTGGTCGATATTTTGACCACTGGGACTGAAAGGGTTAAGAAAAAAAAATGGAGAGAAAATGCATTAAGAAAATAGGCCTGATAGGCGAATTTTGGGTTCGTCCCATTTTTATCAGTTTTAAGCGTAGGAGAATCTTTGAAAAAGGGCTGAGTCTTAATCTTCCTCAACTTCATCTCCCCTTCCAACTCCAATTTCTAGAATTTACAGAAATAGCACTTTTAATTAATTTTAACATATTTTTTAAATTCAATATAATAATATGTACGGATGTTTATAATAATTAATTTAACAATTGCAATTATTAATAGAAACGATTCGATGAAATTTACGTTATCTAATAATTATCTAATCAAATTGTTAATTAATACAATATTCAAATATTAATTGTTAATACTTTGTTTAAACATTCATACTTATTAAAGTTAACAACAATAAAATTAATGATTTCAATAATTATCTATTTATTATAACTAATTCGATAAAAATTCTGATTATTATTTTATTATTTAATAGTTATTATAATAATTTGTTAATTAACATTTTATTTGACAATAAACTATGGATAAATTGTTTAAACATTCTATTAATTATTAAAATAAATAATCAAAATTGTTATTTAATAATTTCGGTTTTTAATATTAAAACTGTTCAACAATTAATTCTAATTGTTGTTAATTATTTATTTATAATATTCAGAACATGAAAATTAATTAATTAATTTATGTCAATTTTATATAGTTACAGATATTTTTAGACCGAATTCAATTCAAATCAGGCAGGCAAAACATATTAGGTAGTAAAACTCATTTTCCCCTTCAAAATATTGTTTTATAAAGAAATTTAGACGACAAGTATTTTTTTTATTTAGCTAAAAAAAGTTTTTGTCAAAGTTATGGGCATTTTAAGTTTTAAAGTCGGAAACTTCGTTTCTAGTAAATTTAGGGGTAAGAATGTTTAAAGTATTGTAACTATTTTTGTAATTAAGATAATTTATTTTTTCTTTTTGCATCTGAAAGGGCTTTAGTTCGCCTTTCTAAATCAGTTGAAAATTTTTAAAAATATTAAAAAATAACAAAATGGCGGCCATTTTACTTAAAAACTTTGAATTGAATTTACTCAAAAACCCCACCTTTTTTTTGCTCAAAATTTTTTTGGGAATTGTGTTCATAGGGAAGAATATTTTCCATAAGAATTTAAGTTGTGTCCGATTCTAATACAAGAAAAAAAATCTAAAAAAAATGTCTCATGTAATTTTTCTCTATCTTGCATTGTTTCATTGAATTTTACAAAAAATATATTATACGCTCACATTTATTGCTCTTTTAATATCAGTAACAGTATTTTTTATATAACTTTTAAAGAATTCGATTTTATAAAAAACATTTCATCTTACTTAACTTTTTACTAATTTTAAACATTTGTTTTTAGTGCTCCATATTAATATTTTGCCAACCATAATTTGCTGTTCGAGATATGGAAACATTTTTTTTTCTGATGAATGTTCCTCAATTCTCCAAATGTGACATTTCTGTATTCCTGGGATAGCTGGAACCTTCTTCCATTCTTGAATTTTCTGTTTCCGAAAGCGTTGAAGATCTTTTTCAGAAATGTGCAATAATTTTATTGATTTGCTGTAGTTTTGAACTTTTGTAACAAAATCGTTGACATCTTTGATTGCTTCGAGGTGTTCCGATCGTAAGTTATGAATTGTTGCGTAATGCTTAACAATACCACCAATACCATCACAAGCACCTTTGCCGTGACCTGTTGCAGAAAAAATCCATCTTTTTTTCATTGAAGATGAGGAAAATTCAAAAAATTGGTAACGATTTTTGAACTGAGATGGGGCTGCATCAGAAATAAATATTACTTCGTCAATAAGATGAAAATTAGAAAGTTCTCCTTTTAGATTCGCGATTACTAAATTATTTGCCATAATTGCATGAGCAGAGTCATGTTTTGTGTCGTCACAGATAACTGCAAATTTTTTTTTCTTTGCCACTGTAACACACGACTGTAAAAATAGACAGTTGCTCAGATTTCCAGTAAGCACTCTGAATCTCTTGTTTTTTAACCTTCTTCCAATTTTCAGCAAAATCAAAGTGAAGAATCAATTTTTTTAAGCTTTGACTTACATCCTCTTTTACTCTTATTATTTCTAACTGCTGTTCTCTTTTCACGTGTTTGTGCAGGCTTGCCTTTAACGTCCTGGACAATTAGTACATTCTTCAAAAATACAATCTTCTGTTGCTAAAGAACATAATATTAAAGAAAATACTTCCTTTTCGACATCTTTCAAATTAGCGCGTTTTTCGTTCCTAATATTGTTCAAAGCAATTAGGCACAGTTCAAAATTTGAACAATAATACAAAGACATACTTCCTTGGGGGGATTGATCACAACCCACTTTAGTTTTAAAGTATAAAATCTAGTTCGACCAAGTTTCACTTCAGAATGCTGCTTTTTAAACAGATGGAAAATCTCATTTATACTTCTCGTTAAAAAACGTTTCGTCACTTTTACCTTTTCTCCATTTTCAACAATATTTACAACATCAGATTTATTAGGACTTTGCC